AAAACCAGAAGGAAGAATGGTATTCACAATCATGGTTTACAGCAAACTGAACAAATCGAGCTTGACGTGTAAGACAAAAAGGAAATATGATGAAAATCCTAAAGACTACTAAGGATCACAAAAGGGACCAACAGTTATTTGACCTAACAATTAGGAGCTAGTTTACTGTTCCTAGCTACTGGGAAGTCAGCCTTCCTGCAAGATTCTTTGTAGCTTTTAATCAGGTGGAAAGTTAATTCTGCAGTTTGCCTGCCTTAGAGAGCTGTTAGATGAAGAGCTATATAATGTTTGTAGAATGTGTATATGTTTATAATAGCACATAGTAGTCGATACATGTTGATTAATTTCCTACCTTTTGCTAGAACTTGTGAAGGACAGAGAAAAAAATAATCACAGCCCTTTGGAAGTGTTTTAGTAGTTTAGCTTGGTCAATTTTATAACTAACTCTGTCAGAGGGGGTGGAGAAGGGTCAGGGAAGTGTGTATCATAGGTGTGATTACCTGGTTGAGTCTTGAAGTTAACCAGATGGATGGTAGGTCGGGAACGTGGGAGCAGAAGAAATAGCATAGAAAAAGAGAACAGCATGGTTCCTTCTGGGAGCATCAAGGAACTGGCATTTGGGTGTGTGAAGCTGTGGTCATTTCACCAGGGAAGGCAGAGGCCAGGTCTTGTACACCTTGGTACAAGAGTTTTGTCCTGATCCTGTATGTGGCATTGGGAACTCATGGACTTTATTCTGTAGATGGTATTGGGGATTACTCAAAGGATTTTAACCAAAAGAGTAATGTGATCAGATTTATGTTTCAGAAAAATCACTAAGGAAATGGTATATAGCTTTAGTTAGAACACCAAAAGTGAAATTGGAAGTTATTGCAGTTCAGGCATTGGAAGCGAGGATGGGACTGGGTGAATCTGGGGAATACTTAGGTGACACAGTAGATTAGGCTTATGATGTATTGGATATGGTAGGTAAAGTAGAAGTAAAAAGACAGAATGACGCGCAAGTTGGTGGAACTGTAGATCAAGATACTGAGTCGAATTTTCCATTTGTCATATTTAATGTGCCTATGGTGCCTCCAAGTAGATATTCCAGTAGAGAGCAGCATATACAGGTTTGTGGTCCAAAGTCAAGTTCTTAAGTGGAAATACAGACAGACTTGGGAACCTTTGGTAAATTGGGGAAATCATGGCAGTGGGTCAGGTCATCTGGAGGAGTGAGAGAGGAGAAATGATCACTCTTGATAAAATGGTGGGGGAAGGCCAGCATCTAACCTGTCTACAGAGAAAGAGAGGTCCACAAAGGTGACTGGGAAGAATCACTCAGAACAGGGGAGAATTCAGTAAAGTATGAAGTCCCTGGAAGAAAAATGGCCAGTGAGAGATTCCGGGGAGAGAGAGTGTGAGAACAATTAAACAACGTTCTTTGGGTTTGGCAGTTTTACACATTAGAAAATCAACTGCTTCCTATATATAAGCACTTCCGTTTTTGAACTACTGTAGCAGTTTCTTTGTATTTCTCTTAAGTTTATTGTATTTTTATTAAGTTCTATCTTGAGTAGTAATGTGTGTTCTGTTTCTTTTTACTCAGTTGTCAACTTCATGAAGGTAGGGACCATGATTTATTCATCTTTGAATTATGTTTGACGCAAGAGATCACTAAAATATTTATTGAATGACTGAATTACTGATGGTTGTTTATTTAGGCACCCAGTTGATAAGCTTAAAAAAAAACTATTTGGCTAGAAACGTTTATAAACTACACGGCCTACTTTTTTGCCTTTTAAAATAGAGTATAGTGAACATATGTAACTTTCTCTTTGTTAGAATCAGTCTATTATATGGGTATGTGGGGCTATTTATTGTATACTAAAATACTGTGTACTGTAGCTGGTGATTCAGCCTTGTCCTTTTATTTTACTTGGATGAAAAATAATAGAAGATCAGATGGCAAGATTAGTATTTGTTGGAAATTTGAAGTTTTGAGGTAATCACGTTTACATACAAATTATTTGTATAAAACCAGTCTAATTCTCAACATCTTAATATGGTGTTCCAAAATTTAGTTGGGTGGGCAAAGGGGAGAGAGATGGGCTCGAGGTTGGGGTCAGAGGTAGCCTTTTGAAAAGGTTGCTTTTTGTACTTTTCTAGACTTGATTTGGTTCCATCTGTAACTAAGAGCTAAGTCTGAGTTTCAAGCAAAATACTAGGTAATTTATGCCTATGTGTAAGATGCATAATACTTTGATGTCTTTATAAAGTTGGCTATCATTACAATTTTTAATGTCATGGTAGGATTCATTTTTTTCCCCAAAGGAATTTGGAAGACAAACCTTCTTCTGTATTTTGTAAGAACAAATATATCCATAATGCCTGAAGTAAGTTAAATATTGATCTTATGCTCACGAAGGGTTTAGTGTCAATTTGTTTGGTCCAATTTATAGCTTGGATAAAGATTTAAAGTAATTAACCAGTTATTGATACTTTGTCAAGTAGACTCCATGAAAGCTGTGATAGTAGCATTTTAAACTATCTAAATGCATAAATCAGTTGTTAAATATATGGAGATTTTGAAATTTGAACGTTTCATGAGTAGAAGGATTCTGAATGTGAAAAAAATAAAGCATATTATGTTGTCTGCTTCTTTCAGACTATTTTGGCCAAAATCAAAGTGTTACGATTACTTATATCAAGAAGCAGAAGTTCTTCTGAAAAAATTTCCAATTCAAGCCACAATTTCATTTTATGAAGATTCTGATAGCGAAGAAGAAATTGAGGAGCTGATCTGTGAAAATTAATCTGATTACTTTTGATGACATTCAAAGCTTGTAGGTACAAATTAGATTAGTGTACAAATGTATCATAATCCTTTTAAATTAACTTATTTGTATATAAATTATTAATAAAATGAACTATTTAGTAATTACTATGGTAGTTTGGCCTTTTTTATCCCTACATTATAATTCAATGTTGGAATTTAAAAATAGGTTTTATTTATAATGGAACCTTGATTGTATTATAAACATTTGGGGCTTATAAAAGATAATTTGGTTCTCTTCATCAAATTACAAATTTATCTTCAGTTATAATTTTGAAAATAAAACTTTTCAAAGAAAGACAATATTTAATTTTCAAGACTGAATCTTGTGACATCTGGTATTTCCTACCGAGCCCTATCGGATGTTGTAGTTACAGATGAATATTATCTTACTAGATAATGAGGACAATCCTCTTATGTTTCCAATCACACATTATTATTATGTATTAGCTAGTAGATGGTGAAAATGTTGTAAATCATTGTCTATAATTGAGATTGGGAATCAATGTTAGGACTATTAAATTGTAGGGATTTTAATGAATGATGAGTCAAGTAATTCTTACTTTAATACCCTTCTGCTGTCCTCAAATCCAGTAGTAAAATAGCATGGGTGTTTAGTACTTATGGCACTACATTGAGGGATCCCCAGAATTAAAACATTTAAATGGATGTGACTTACATGGAGTCTAAAAAAGGGGAGACAAAAGGCCAGAATTTGATAGTATTTTTTTTTCCATTTCTGTCCACGAGGGAGCTAGGAAATTTGGCAGATAGGAGACATTCTCCAACTGCATCACCTTCCATCGCTGCTGTGGTTCCCTGCTCCTGATACTCATGTAACGATTTTCACATAGGAAGTGAAATAAGAAATTCTTAGAGATTAGCTTTTTTTTTTTTGTTAAACATAGACTTATAGAAGAATACGTCATCTTTTAATGAAAGAGAAAACAGGAGCACTTTGCATGGGAGAGGTAACATAGTAAACTATGATCATGAAGTTCTTTTAGCTCAAATACAATCTTTGCAGTGGCAAGCAATTGAAGTATAAGCATTGATTTCCAGGCACTTTAAGGACAAAGGAATTGAAATAGAGCAAGTTCAAACCATGTTTCAGAGTCAGGAAAAGTTAGTAATGGCAGGAGGATGGAGAGTTACTTAGAACTATATTTCTTTTCCTGAAAACTTCTTCTTTTACTGGGTTCTGCTCTCAGGATATGTGTGTTCCCCAACAGATATGCAAAAAAACCACCAGGTCACCAATCTGGACCTTGAGTATTAGGGACTGGTGTTTACCTGCACAGTATTTGTGCTGCTGTCATTAATAGGGTGGAATAGTATGAAAAGCCACAGCCACATTTATTGAGTGCCTACTATTAGCCAGGCACTGTGCTAGGTAATTTGCACTTGACGTCTCACTTAATTCTTACTAAAACCTAAATCCATTATGCAGATGGGAAATGAGGCATTGAGATACTAAAGTAACCTGCAGAAGGATGCTCATTTAGTAGCTGCAGGGGTGGCATCCAAACGAAACCTATCTGACTCTTGAACGTGGCTAGCTGTTCAGCGCTACATTTGGACATAGGCTGCATGAGTTCTCATTCCCCTTTATCTTTCAGGGAAGAGAGGAAGTTAGATGAGGAGGAAGAACTTGTGAGTGGGTGAATGGAGCAGAAAGAGACTTTACTAACCTCTGCGACTCATTCGTTAATCATTAGCGAGAGTTCTTAAAGGTGAAGTGTTCTCTTCACCTAGCAGGAGTCACTGTTTGCATTTGACATCTTAACTCTTAGAGGTTCTCTTTCCTGTACAGCGTGGTGCCTTAGAAGAGAGAGTTTCTGAGAAATCAAAATGCCTTATTCCATATTCAAGCAGTGTGATGGTAGTGCTTCAACAATGGGCAGACACTTGTGTTCTGGGTTAACAGGCGTCTCCAAGAATTTATTCTCAGATTCAGTCAGCACCAAGGCTTAGGAACAGCTTCACCCTTTAATCTTTCCACGGAACAGCTGTCACTTCTTCGCGGTGCTGAAATTCAGGGTGCGGGACGAACGGAGCATGCGTACTTTGCCCTGATTCCACCACCGCCGGCTCTCCGTTGGTCTCGTTGGCTCCGCCCCTCGCGTCCTCGACGTTCTGCGTCATGGCGCGCCTCACCCCGGGCGACCCCGGAAGTGGGTCGGGGGCTTGGCCTCTGCCCGGCCTCGGAGCCGGAGCCGGAGGTGTTACCTGGAGGGGTCGCGCCGAGCTATTCAGTCGGGCGGCGTACCCCGGGCAGCGCCCGGGCTAAGAGTCCAGGATGCTGAACGTCCCTTCCCAGTCTTTCCCGGGCCCCAGCTCGCAGCAGCGCGTCTCCTCCGGGGGGCGTAGCAAGGTAAGCGGGTGACTCCGGCGGTCTCGTGCCGCAGCCCTCCCTTCTCGCCAGCGTTTCATGCTCCGGCACAGTCCTTTCTCTCCTTCCGTACCCTCTCCCGCCTCCTGTCCCCACCTCTAGCTTTCGTTCCCTCCCGCCCTTGCTGGCGATCTCTTTCAGATCCCATGCCGTTTCCAGTCCTCGAACTCTACTAACCTCTCTCCCTCTTACGTACTGGCCCCTTTTCTTTCCCATCCCATTATCCCGTTCTGTCAGTTCCCTTCTTCCAACTCTTTCCCCATTAATTAAATTCAGATGTATGATAGGTCCAGGCTCTGTGCGTCCTATATTGTAGGGATTCAGTATTAGCCTCCTTCCTTAAACATAACCTCCTCTCCGTTCTTTTGTTCACTTTCCGAAGGGGTTGTTAGCGATGTGAGTTCCCTAGAAGAGAGGAAAGGCTGAGCACTAGCGACAGAGACCAGTGATCATCCCACCAAGGGTGGGGACTCCGGGAGCTAGGGAAGATTGGAGAAGCGAGAACAAGTGTCTGCAAACCTCCAGTTAGGTTTACGGACGCTTCTCCAAGTCACACTGCCTTTCTGTCTTCCTCTGGTACCTGATTGTTTTATCACTGCCTTTCCTACTGATGTCATTTGCTGACTCTGAAGCTAATATAATACTCTTTAACTTTTTGTTGCACGTAGCTTCTGTTACCAACAGGCGGAACACAAATGTGTTTTATATTTGCAGAATTTAATAGAATTGTCTCCTGTGTTCATTGCAACATGAATGCTGCTTGTTTCTGTTGATTGTTAGTTCCTCATTCAATAACCACATTTTCATGTTTTGTTTGCAAGACTTCCACCTACTCGGGCCACTCCTTTTTCATTTCTGGACTCTTGAGCCTTAGCATTGACATCATTTGGGAACTTCACCAACTTTCTCTATGTTCTACACATGGACCTGGAGTTTGACTCTAGATCACAATTACGGGTTCAGGGATCTGTAGCTTTCATTAGATTTTCAGAAGTCTATCACCCCAACTGTAATAATAATAAAACTGAGATTTATTTAGTGCTTACTGAAGACCTCAGTGCTTTACATGTATTAACTTGTTTAATCTTTCTAATGATCCTATGAAGTGGATGCTTTCGTTATCTCCATTTCACAGAAAAGAAAACTGGTTAAGAAATGCTGCCTTGGACCCAGTGATGTGATGTGACTCTGACTGTGACTTTTCACTTATTGCTGCATATATTATGCAGCCATCCAGTCGTGTGTCCTCGTCTCCTTGGTGTTTGACCTGCTTCTCTCCTTAAGCTAAGTGCTTGGCTGAATAGTAGAGCCTTTTCAAAGAAAGCATCTCTGGATTAGAATATGAGAGTTGCTGCCCTTCTCCATTAAAACTACCAGCCATGTTCTCAGTATCATTTAAAGGAGAAAACTTAGAGGCAAAGACAAACGTTTCCCCAGGTGGTGATGGGAAAGGTGAGTCTTTGGGTCCAGAAAGAGAATAAAATGCGATTATTCTGCAATTCAAGAGAAAACTCAGACGATTTTTTCCCCCTTTGTGAAATTGTTGCCGAACTGAACTTGAGTTCGTTTTCCCGACGCGCAGCGAAGGCCATCTCCTGATACTGGGTTGTGGTGGAGGAAAGTGCAGCGTTTATTTGCAGGGCGCCAAGCAAGGAGAACGGGCAGCTAGTGCTCAGAACACCCAGATTCCCCGATGGCTTTCAGGCAAGCATTATCAAAGGCAACATTTGGGGTGAGGGTCCAGGGAGCATGATTAGCTTGCGGACATTCTTCTGTTTGGTTGGTGGTGAGGTAACATGGTGATATTTTAGAAATCTCAATCCACAACCTTCTTGTTCCAGCCAGGCTGGGGCCTTTGTGTTTGTGGTCAGCAGTTTCTATCCCTTGGGGTCCTGGTTGCTGTAAAAGAACTCAAGGATATGCATCATGTTGTTGTGTGTATCTCTTCAGGAGGGACTAGGAGTCCTGTGACTATTGTTCAAGCTCTTAGTTTTCTTGCTTGACTACTTTTCCTTGGTTTCTGCATTTTCTCACTTCTATAGTCATTAGCTGTTTGATTCTGCTCTTTGGAACTCTGGGAAGGCCTAGGAGACTGAAGCTTTTTCTACAAATAAGAAGCAGAGACATGGAGACCCTACCATATTTGGGTCTCAGTACCGTATTTATTGAGACCCTACCATATGCTGGAGATGTGATCTCTGTTGGGGAGGGGGAAATTTCTACAGAATTGACACAAGACAGATTAGCAGGAGAAAAAGAAACAAACTTAATTGGCATGCACAGAAATCTTGTAGAAATGGGATCTAATGTTATGAGTCTAAGCTTGTACTGCTCGCAGCACGACAGGCCAATAAGGGGGAGACAAATTGCTGGGGCAAGGAATCATGACTTTATTTGAAAAGCCGGCAAACGGAGAAGCTGGTGGGCTCATCCCCCAAAGAACCATCTTGCCTGAGTTAGAATTCAGGCTTCTTTTATACTAGAAGGGGAGGGAGTAAAGTCAAACATTCCCTGTTTCCCATCAGCCTCCAGAGAGGATGTGTTAATTTCTTCGTCTCTGCAGTCATTCGCAGGTGGGCCTGGTCAGGATGTTTCCTGTGAGCTAAACAAAGGTATTTTAGCTTAATGCTCATTGCCCGGATAGCCGGGTTCCCAGAGATGGGCCATTATGTGTAATTTAAACTTCTAGGCGACATCCCTTTAGTGATTAACTTGTAATAGATTCTTCCCTATTACACTAAGGAGTGGCCAAAGCTGGCAGCTTTTATACTTTTTAGACAGACAGTACATTTGAGAGGAGTTGATGGGACAAAGAAACTTAGGTCTGGATACTGAATTGGTAAGGAATTTGAGCAGTTTGGGCTTGGGTGGTAAATTAGTAAACAAATAACAAGATTTGTATACAGGCTTCTTGGCCCTGAATTTCCTATCTCTGGTGAGAAGGATGTGTTTCTACCTCCCAGTAGAGGGAGGGCACCTTTCACATGGGAGATTTATTTCCTGCTTTCAGGAAGATAAAGAGGACAAAGTGTTCCTCTTGCATGGCCTGCCCTGGGCCCCAACATCTCTGTTGTCAAAGAGTTTAGTCCAGCAGGCTTCACAGACTAGTAAAGAGGCAGTTATAAATACCGTAGGGACTGTAACAGTCTGTTATGACCTTGAAGGAGTCGGGGTCAGAAAAGGCTTCTGGAGGAAGTAATGTCTGCGGGGGAGAGAGCGGAATCAGTTTCCATTTACCTAAAAGCATAGAATGGGAAGGGGCAAAAGTTAAGACGTGGAGCTAGTGAGGTAAACTATGACCAGATGATGAAGGGCCTAGTAAGCCACTCGAGGGCATTTAGAGACATTACTATAAGGATTATGAGGAGCCACTGAAGGAGGGAGGGTCCTAGATTAGATTTGCATTTCCAAAAGATTACTTTTAACTACCCTGCAGGTGATAGAATGGTGAAAGAAGTGGTTTGGGATGGGAAAGATCATATGTATTCTCACACTTTACTTCATTTATGAAGACCAAGAGACCTAGAGAGTTTTAGCGATGGTAAGATTGGGATGATGTGGATTGGTAAGAAGGAATGTGAAGCTGGAAAGGCACCACAGACCTATTAACTTGGTTATTTTGGGGGCAATTGAATATCTAAACAGATATGATTCAGGAAAGTGAGATGTGTGTTTTAGTACTTTCGGGCCGCTCTAACCAAATATCATAGGTGGCTTATAAACAACAGAAACTTACTTCTCACACTTCTGGCGGCTGGGAAGTCCAAGATCAATGCACTGGCCAATTATGTCTGGTGAGACCCCGATTCCTGGTTTGTAGCCATCTTTTTAGTGTCCTTACTTGGCGGAAGGGGTGAGGGAACTCTCTAATGCCTGTTTTATAAGGGCACTAATTGCAACAACTTTATCACCTACCAGAGGCCCTATTTCCTAGTACCATCACATTGAGGATTAGGATTTCAGTCTGTTTTGGGGGGACACAAATAGCAATAAACTTCCTTGAATATGACTGCTTTTATGTTAAACAATTATCTGGTACTATGTTACAAACTAGTTATACAGGTTAGATGTCTTGAAAAATTTCCACTAGGGTGTCTCAACTGGTTAAAACACTAATTGTACCTCTTATCTAAAAGCTTTGAAAATGTATTTTGTAAAAAAACCCAAAACGCACAAAATCCCAAACATCCTGTTATTAAACCCTCTAGGCAGGAGAAAGCAAAGTTTTGTGCAAAGCCCAGGTAATAAATAATTTAGGCTTTGAGGGCGTCATAAGGATTCAGTCTGTTCACCACCAGCACCACCACCATGGGTGGAAATTACTCGTAGCTCAAGGGCTATACAGAAACGGGCATAGGCCAGTTTGCCAACCCCTTCCCTAGAGTGTGACGGTTTAGAGACATTATTATAAGGAATATGGGGAGCCACCGTTTTATTATTTTCCATTATTTGATAACTTTTGTTTCTCAGTGGATTCTTAGAAAACATATTACCATCTCATGTGATTTCTAATATTCTGTGTATGTTGAAAATCCAGAAAATCAACTTCAGCCAGTTTCTGTTTTCTTCTATCAAATCCCTTGATTTTTAAGGCAAAGAAATTTTGGTCCAAATTGGTAAGCGACTAGAACATATTAGCGGTAGAGCCAGGACCAAAATTTGTTTTCTGACTCTGGGTTCAGTACTATCCTTGTACTATGATACCATTTGGATGGACATTTGTGTGCCAGAATTTCTAAGCCCCACCTCATGGCCCAGGTACTTTATATAGGGTTCCATTTATAATTCTGATACCACGCCCTAAAGCTGAAGAAGACTTTTAGAATTGTTATATTTGAGTTTTCTTATCTTTTGGAGTGGGAATCAATAATGAGGTGGCCTGAGGACCAGCAGCAGGAAGGGGAAGGGAAAGCAGCTGACTCGAAAAAGCCACACTGAATTCTTCCCTGTTCCTTTTTGAGGTCCCTCTGAAACAGGGCAGAAGTCTTATGGATTGGATTCGACTGACCAAAAGTGGAAAGGACCTAACAGGATTAAAAGGAAGATTAATTGAAGTAACTGAAGAAGAACTTAAAAAACACAACAAAAAAGATGATTGTTGGATATGCATAAGAGGTAGGTGGTATTTATTATGTACTGCAAAACGTTTTGGCTAGGGTTTCCAGTTGTAATGCTGTACAACCCCTTGGTCCTGTTATTTGGTGATATGATTTGCAATTAGATAACAAAAATATGCCTTACACTGGGCAATAAATTCTCTAATTCGGAATTTGGGTCTGAATTAGGGCAGTATTTCTTCCCTAAGTCACTGTTCACATAGCATCCCTGTACTGTATTCCCTTTGAAAGAAAACAAGTGTTTACCAGGCAATTTAATACCAAAGTAATAAAATTATTCAGTAACACCTAGTTTATATGGAATAATGTTCCACCTTTGTGCCGTGTAACAGAATTCTGTAGGAAAAAATGTCTCTGAGAATCTAAAGTAAATCAGAAAACCCACATGAAAGCCAAATCCTTAGTTTTCACTTGCAGCACTTTTTATTACTTAATCCACGCTGTTAGCAATACGAGTTACCTGATTTTTCTGGCCCACAGCAAATTAGAAGCCCCAGGCTAGAAATGGATAGATTGGGAGAGAGTGAGCAGAGAAAGAATGATAGTTGATGGAAGTAGATCTCATGGTGTCCTATAGCCTGGTATCTGGGAGAGAAGCAAAAACAATTAAGGGCTTGCAGCTGTGCACTGGGTCTCCACAGCAATGTCCTTGAGTCATCTAGATGGGGTTCAGTATATCCACTATCCTCAGTTTAAAGAAGAAAGGAAGTGTGTCATTTATTGCTGTTATCGCAGTTGTAATTTTATCATTGTATAATTTTGGTTTGTTGTCAGTTATCCTGATGACACTGTCACCTGTATGAGGGCAGGGACCATGTCAGTCCCCTGCTGTGTCCTTGGTGCCTGGCACATAGAGGTCATCAGTATGTGTTTGTTGAACTAGTGCAACACTTACCATTCTTAAGAAATTTGGTTACTTGAAGAGGTGGTTGTCACAGTAGATCAGTGGTATAGTAAATGGAAAGACACCAGTAGCACTGTTAGTTTGCTAGGGATGCCCAAACAGAATTCAACAAACTGGGTGGCGTAAACAACAGAAGTTTATTATCTCACAGTTCTGGAGGCTAAGCTTTAAGATCAGGATATCTTCTTTGGGCTTGAAGAGGAAGCTGTCCCATGCCTCTCGCCTCTCTTCTGGTGGTTTGCTGGCAATCTTGGAGTTGCTTGGCTTGTGGTGGCATCACTCTGATCCCTGACTTCATCTTTATATGGCATTCTTCCTGTGTGATTGTCTGGGTCCAAACTTGCTGTTTTTATAAGGACATGGGTCATATTGGAGGAGGGGCCTGCCCTACTCTAATATGACCTCATCTAATTACATCTGCATTGACCCTGTATCCACATAAGGTCATGTTCTGAAGTATTGCAAGTTAGGATTTCAATGTATGAATTTGGGGGTACACAATTCAATCCGTAACAGATATAATTAGAGTGTGGAATGTTTTTCAGTGGCAGAGGGTATGGAATCTTCCAGGAGGGGATGACTTAGCTTGTTCTGAGACAGAAGAACAGATGCTCAACTTTTCAAAGTTTCTCAGGGAAATACACTGTGGATAGACCAGTAACTTGCAATGAGGATTCTGCCAGACACAAAAAGCTCCTTTTGCCATTTGATAGGGTTTTTAATACCCTCCTTGCTTTCTCTCCGTGCTGCATACCTGTTTACCAGGTGCAGGTAACTGGCACAAAATGACCTCCCCACTGTGCCCAAGTGTCTTCTGCTGGCCTGGGTGAAGTGGAGGTCAGTTTCCCACGAGGATTTCTCAGCTGGTCCAGGCTATGGGCGTGTCTGAGCTGTTTCTGCAGTAGGAAGCCACTTTTTCAGAAAACTGTCTCATGTGAACCCTTCACATCCTAGCGCTATTAGATAAATGAGGCATCGTTACAATGCAGTCATACTTTTTTATTCATTTGATGTACTGATGGAGGTCAGGGATGGGTTTGCTATGTTTAAGAAGTAATACATGTTGCTCCCAGTTACATATCTCCCGTAATGATTTGAATGGATGACACTCTTCCGGTAAGGTTGTTGATTTAAGGATAAATTCTTTTAAAGTTTCTGTTGGAGAATGTATTCTACCCTACTAATAATTGGGCTTTTCCCCCTGGATTGCAAAGTAAGATGTGTCTTTTTTTTTTTTTTCCCTTTTGACAGAGTTTGGTTTTTAATTTTAATAAAGAAACATTTGATTTAGGCCCTGCCCTGGGATCCTCCACTCTAGGAGGAGAAGATAAATAACTGGTAGACAAGTCTGAGTGAAGTGCCCTACGAGGGCTATGAAGAAAGTGATGTCAGATTGCAGGGAGGGAGACGTGTGGGTTAGGAAAATCAGAGACGCTTTTGTGATAGAGATAAGCCTTGAAAGGGTAGACAGGATTTCAACCAGAAGGGAGGGGGAAGTACACCCAAGTGGAGGGAAATGCTAACCAAGGGTCTAGACACAGAAAAGCTGGAGGTATGTTCTAGAGCTTAGGCTGCCTGTTGGAGAATTATAAGAAAGAAAACTCTGAAGGCATGTTAGGGCAGATTATGGAGGACCTTGAAAGCCAAGCTGAGAAATGTGTTCTTAATTTTGATGGCAGTGTGAACTGTTGGAGGTGCTTGAATGTGGGGACAGAGAAGGCCTTGGAAAAGGTAGTCTGGTGGTGGGCATAGTGAATTGAAATGAGACTAGGAAAGCATTTAGCTCTTACAGAAGTTCAGGTGGTAATAGGTGAACCAGGATGTTGACAAAGGCAGCAAAGTAGGATGAATGAGGATGACAGACAAAGTAGGATGACAGACAAATTTCCTGTAATTTCTAACACAATCCTCTGTGAAAGTAGAAGAAAGCACAGGACTGAATGTAATTGTCTTTTTCTTCTTAGCTGTTCTAATTTAAAATGTTAGTGATACCTTCTTAAAGGGAGTGTATGCCAATTTAGCTTTGAAGGTCAGTGCTAATGTTTGGACCCAAGTTTTAATCAAAGCTCTACCACAGGGAAGCATGGTATCAAGGTATATATTTTTTTCTTTTTTTAAAGTATTGGATTCTTCATTTTCTAACAATTGCCCCATTTTTAGATCAGTTCAAATTTCAGCTTGATCAGACCAAGGGAGACACAGTGTCTCTTTAGAAAATATACACTTTGGCATGGGTTTTTATAGCTAATATTTGGGGGACTTTTTTTTTTTTTGAGTACATAGCTGTTCTGCTTAATGTTCAGGTGTGCTAAATCTAGTCATGTTCGTAAAAATGATGGTGTAAAAAGAGCACTTGGCTGGCAGCTGACAGTAAAATGTGGGCATTGGTCTGGAATGATCTCAAAGGCAGGTTTATGGACTTTCTGATTTGTTCACTTAATTCTCACCTTTCTGTGTAAAGTATGTAATTCCTATAATGCAATAAGAGTTAATTGGGACATTGAGGGACTGGATGGGAGAGAGATAGCTTTTTCAAAAATTTTGTTGAATTTCCCGTTAATTCATGCAATTGTAGTTTTCTGTTTTATTGCTATTTCTCTCTGTCTCTCTCTCAAGAACTAAAGGTGATTTACAAATATGTGAAGCTTTGAACATGAACATTTAGGAGTTTGAATAAAAATCTAAATCACTCATCTGTGAGAGCTCTGTAGAGCCTAGATCAGACTTTGTTTTTTCTGTAGTATATTTTACTGTAGTATGTAATCAGTGTGGGTAATGATGTATTAAGTCATGAAATCATCTTTTGGCATCATTTTAATCTTAGGGTGAGGGGAAGTGTGGCCTGATACTCAATAACAGTCTGTTTAAATAAATGATATTTCTAAAAAGTTGATTACAGTAAATATATTGGCCATTCTGCTGTTAAAAATTTAGTGAAGGGCTTCCCTGGTGGCGCAGTAGTTGAGAGTCCACCTGCCGATGCAGGGGACACGGGTTCGTGGCCCGGTCTGGGAAGATTCCACATGCCGTGGAGCGACTAGGCCCATGAGCCATGGCCGCTGAGCCTGTGCATCCGGAGCCTGTGCTCTGCAACGGGAGAGGCCACAACAGTGAGAGGCCCGCATACCGCAAAAAAAAAAAAAAAAAAAAATTTAGTGAATGCAGTTCCCCAAGTGGGATTTAATGGATTTTATTTATAACTTAGAAATGAACATACTTTGATTTCTCCTAATGCTGATTGTCATATGCTAGTAAATTGAAGAGGCCTGCTTGAGACCATTGTAAAAGTGACTTTTAATGGATTTGTATTTTTCATGTTTCAATAACTAAAAAATCTTGGCAGATTGATTCCAAGAAATGGTATTTTTCCATTACCGTTTCCTAGATTTCTAGGTTCATTTACAGTAAACTTTTAAAAAATTTACTTGTATGACAGTAGTGTAAATTTTTGAGTGCATCAATCCTCATTATTGCTGGGTTTCAAATTTGCCTACTCACTAAAATTTATTTGTAACCCCCAAATCAGCACTCATAGTGCTTTCATAGTAATTTGAAGACGTGCACAGTGCAGTGAAAAATTGTTGCTCCCCGAGCACACGTTCCTAGCCGAGGTCAGACAAGGCAATGTTCTGCCTTCTTGTTCCAGCTCTCTCACAAGTGTCTTTTTTGCCGTTTTTTTAGTGCGACATTTTTCACATTCTGTGCTTTTCGTTGGTGATTTCACTGTATACATGCCCCCCGCCCCACAAGGAGAGTGCTGAAGTGCTGTCCCAAGAATGCGGTCATGTGCCTTCCGGAGAAAATATATGTTAGATGAGCTTTGTTCAGCCATGAGTCATAGTGCTGTTGGCTGTGAATTCAGCGTTCATGAATCTACAGTATGTATTGAATAATATGTCAAGCAGAACATACATTAAACAAGGTTTTGTTTTGATTGGTTGACAAAAATGTGACCAGGGGCTTGCAGGAACCTCACCTTGTATTAATATTTTCCCTTAGGAGCAGTGGTTCAGTGTTGGCTAATTCAGTGTTTGAAGTGAGTTTGTAGAACGTAACTGCCTAGAGTAATGAGAATTGACTGTGGTTCTTTAGGT